TCCCGGCGTTTCCCGGTGCAGCCGGTGGCGCAGCCGGTGCTGCCGGCGCAGCCGTTGCCTGGGAACGGCGGTCGCAGAGGCAGAGAGACGGGGGATCGCCGTGTCGGTGAGCGGAGGGGCCTTGGGGAGGGTCTCCGGGGGGTTCCCTCGGGACAGCAGGAGGCATCGAAGCCTGGAGGGGTTTTGGGAACGGTTCCGTGCGAGCGCGGTGAGACGCGGCCGCTCCCGAGCTCCCGTCCCGCCTGCCGAGGCCCGGGGAGGGCTTTTCCCAGGGCCTCTTTCCCTTCCTGTGAAAGTTTTCTGTGCACAAGGTTTCGGTGTTGGCTCAAATCCAGCCCCGTGAAGCCGGAGATGAAGCAGCTGCTGCCAGGGACTGTGACAAAACCCCAGCCGAAAGGGAAATTTCCGTGCCCGGCGCGGTGCACGGGGCACCCTCCCAGCCAAGGGAGGGAGGCTGCGCTCAGCTGCGATGACCGCTGTGCCGGGCTTCTTCAGTATGAGAGCTGAGAAGGGGCTCTGGGACCCATTTCCCAGCTTCACAGGTGTCCTTTTCTCCTGCTCTGCCCAATTCCAGGTTGTTGTGTGGCCAAATCTGGGAGAGTGCGTGTGGGGAAGTATTTCAGAGAGTCTCCACACCCCAGCTCCCTGGGAGGAGGGAGAAGGTGTGGATGGATGGTCCATGTGAAGTTACACTGGAGTGACCCATTGAGGGAAGAGCAGCACTAAGCAGCGAGCCCAGGGAGATGTCCCAGGACGGACAGACGACTCAGGAGACGGATGTGCAGCCTGAGGAGGTGAGGACAGCACCATGGAAAGTTTGAGAAAGGGTCTGGGGCAGATCCCAGTGGAAACAGAGCCCTTGGGATCTGGGACCTGCTGGGGTTCCTTCCCAGTAGCCACAGGGCAGTTCCCATCCAGACCAGCCCAGGAACCAGCATTCACCAAAACCTCTCTTCCTTTTCAAGGACACCCTTGCTGCTGCCAGGGAGAAGAAAGAAGCACCAGAGGATGATGCGTCACCATCGTGTCCCCGGGCATCTCCTTTAGGTATGGGGATCTCAGATACCCTGCCCAGCACCTGGGCTGGGAGCCAGGGCACCCTGGGGGAAGGCACTGCTGGGACATCATGTCTGGAGGGTGCTGGACCCCCAGAACCACCCCCAGGACTGTCTTGAGTCCAAGGGAGCCATCTCCAGCCCTCTCTCAGACTACAGGGAGAAGGACACACAGCATAAAGGCTCTGCCAGCATGGTGTGGGCGGCCACACCGGGGATGCTGTTCCTGAAGAACAAGGACAGCAGCCTTCACCCCCTTGTGAGTACCAACGGGCACAGTGCCACCAGGGTGGTCCACATGGCACCCAGCACTCCTGGCCTGCTCTCTTCCATCACCCCACAGACCTTGCGTGCCTTTATGTCCTGGCTGCTGAGAGCCAGGAGCTGTCTCTTCCCTGCAGGACCTGTCCTGGGTGTTTGGCTACAACAGCAGCCTGGCTGTGCACAGCCTGATGGACGGGGAGGACCGGGTGCTCCTGTACATCTCCTCCCACACAGTGGTCATCCACGATATCCTGCGGAACAGGCAGTTCCACCTGCAGGTCTGGCACAGCCGAGCATCTCCCTCCTCCTCTTCCTCCCCTTCTCCTGGACTCCCTCCCTCCATCTCTCTTTCTGGTGCTCTGTGCTCAGGGGTCACCTATAACCAAACCCAGGAGCAGCCCACACAAAAGGTAGGAACAGAACAGCCCCAGGTTTGCAGCCTTGAAGGCACTTTGCTGCTTCCCTCCCCCAGGGCCACACCAATGTCATCTCCTGCCTGTGTGTGAGTGAAGACAAACGCTGGGTTGCGACTGCTGACAAAGGGCCAGATGCTCTGATCATTGTGTGGGACTCCTATTCTGGGTAAGCTCCCAGGAACCTCCTCTTTTGGAAACTCCCTGTGGCCAGTAAATCACTCAGGACCGACTCCAGTCTCAGCTGAGAGTAAAACGGGAGAACGCAGGGACAGACAAAAAACCAATCCAAGTCCTTCATAGTCCTTGTATCACCCACACTCATGGGACACTGAGATGGGGCTGAGCTCCCCCAGACTAAGTACATCACATCTCCATGCTGTAGGATCTTCAAAGATCCCTGGTGAGTTGTTTCCCAGTGCCATTCACTTGGGAGGAAGGGATGGAGGGGACGATGAGCACCAGCCTATGGCAGCACCAGTGTCTGCGCCTCCCTCCCTCCGTCCCTTCTTCCACACAGACCAGGGTGGGTGGGTTGTGCCTCAGACTTTGCCAAGTGACTGCCTGGAACCCCCTGTGCTGCCAGGAGCACCCATGGGATCTCTGCTCCGCAGGGTACCCGTGCGCACCATCTTCGAGAGTCATTCCGAGGACGGGGTCTGTGCCATTGCCATTTCCCAAGACGCCAAGTATTTGGTGACCATTAGTGCTGCTGCTGTGCAGGTGAAGAGAATATCTCCTCTTGCATAGCTTTGCAGGATAGAGACCTGGAAGTTTTTTGCAGTGCAGCGCAGGGGAGGTGGGAATTCAGAAGGGGAGAGCAGGAGGGAAGGGGAGTGGGTTTGCAGAGTGATGCTTTGATTTTGCTGAGCCATTAGAAGACAGACCTGGATTTCATTAAAGTGAATGCTGCAGAGTTGAGAAAATGGATCTTAATTTGGGATAAAAGCTTCTGACTTAATCACTTTAATCTAAGCAATTTCTAGCATTATTTCCTGAAATTAAGCTTTCTGCTGCCAGGCTGTCCTGGGTTTTAGCCTGCTGCAGTCTTCTAGGCCACACCATCCCCTGCAGTGGGGAATAGGATTCACCTGGCTCCCCAAACCTCCCAGAGAGCCATGGGAGTGTTCCTTGGATTTTTCTCCCCTTCTCTTTCAGGAAGTTTGTGTTTGGAGATGGACTTTGCCCACAGGGAAACCCATGTGCAGCACAGAGCTGAAGCCCGAGTTTGGGTATCAGGTGAGTGATCATGGCCTAGGGGGGCAGAGGGGATGGGCTGGGCTGGGCTGGACAGCCCCATCCTCACCTGCTCCCCCTGGTACCCCCCTCGGAGGCAGGATCACACCCCACTTCTGGGGCACCCTGATGCAGCAAAGCATCCCAAGGGGTCATCCCTGTCCTTCTGATGCCTGACAGGCATGGGGTGTCCTCTGATTTCAGTTCAGTGCAGCTGGTGAGGTGGTTTTGGATGGAAGAATAAGCAGAAAGCATTGCTCAGCTTGGTGCTAATGCAAGTCTTTGAATTTCAGGATTATGTCATTTTTAACCCTCAGAATCCCCATGAGTTTGTCAGCAACAGCAAAACCCAGGTGATATTTTACCTGTGGGTAAGTAGGGACATGGGAAGTTGTGTTTTTGGTGCCAGAAAGGAGATGGCAGGGGGGGCTCAGGGGCCAGGTGTCTGTCCACAACTGGGGTCACTCTGCAGATCTGTCCCTTCCCTGCTCCCTGTCTTGCCAGATCCCAAAGTGGTCTGGACAGAGTATCACACTCCCTCCACTCCCACCCTGGTCAGGCCCAGCTGTGGCAGGGATGCTCTTCACCTCTCCCACTTCTGCTTTCCCATGGGCCTTGTGCCATTCAGCAGCTTTGGAAAGAAGCAGGTGGAAGGAGAGGATGTTTTGTGCTCTCTGGAAGAGCCTGGAGCCTTTCTGCCCCAGAAGCCCTGCTTTGGTCACCACAGTGTGGGACCAGTGTCCAGATGGTGGAGAGGACCATGCTGGCACTGCAGAGCTCAGTTCCAAAATCCCTGTCCTGGATGTTTTCTCTGCTTTCCCCAGGATGATTCTGGTTTGCAGTACGGGGCACCATTCCTGAGCAACCAGGTGAGCACAGCAGGGAGGGACCACAGCATGTCACCCTCTTGGCTTTCCTGCTGGCAGCACCACTGTCCCTCCCCATCCCCTTAAGCAAAAACAGCAGCCATGGCCCCAGCCTGTCCCCTCAGACAGGGACAAACCAGGTTTGCCCAAGCTGAGCTCAAGCAGGGCTCTCTCTCTAAAGTGCCCCACTGCATTTTCTCCTGGGGCTCTTGTCTCTTGTCCTGCCATGGGACAGGAAGGGAATGCCATGAGAGAATGGCAATCTCTCTGTTTGAGGAAGGCAGAGCCAGCTCTGGGATGAAAACACAGCCTGGCTGCTGTCTCCACAGACCTTCAAGTGCCTGGTGGGACAGTTCAGCCAGTCGGTTTTCCATGTTAACAACACCCAAGCTCTGACGGGCACCTCGGCCGGGAAGCTGGTGGTGTGGGACATGGACAGTCCCCGCACGCTCCCCGAGGAGCTGCCGGCCAAACCCCACGGAGTAACAGCCACCAAGGTGGTGTCACTGCAGAAGGAGAGTCTTACCGTGCTCACAGTGTTGGAGAGGTAACAGGGCAGCCCTTTTCAGTAGCTGTAGGTACAGCCCTCAGGTGCCTCAGCTGTAGGAGTGGCAGAGATAATGTTGGAGTTTTAAGTCACTTGGCAGCATGGTCACTCGTGCGGGAAAGTGATGCTGGTTTATGAGTAATTTTCAGCAATGGATTTGTCTGGGGGTGGAAATGAAGTTGAAAAGTGGTGGTGATGCGATGCCAGCTCTCCTGGGGTTGCTCTGACAGTGGCTCAGCCGCCTGGCCGCTACCGGCAGAGGGAGCAGACAGCCACCAAACTCCGCGACAGCCTTGGGGACACGGCAGGGACACGGCAGGGTCACAGCAGAGCCTCTGGTTTCTGCACAGCCCTGGCTTTCTCCTGCACATCTGTGCAGGGCTCTGCTCGTGTGCTTGTGCAGAGAAATAAGGAAGAGATTTGCTTCCACCCAAGGATGCTCTCCAAGAAATATTTGGGAGTGGTCAGTCAGTGTGGTTAATAACTTTCCCCTCCCTGCAGCTGTATAGTCACAGGTGATGTGAAAGGGCAGGTTAAATTCTACGATGGGCAGCTGCGGCTCCTCACCATCTACAGCCACGACAAAGTGGGTCCCATCCAGTCCATCTCCTTCTCCACAATCCTTCGGGATCGTCCCAGTGCCCTCCCAGGCAGCAGCCAGCCTTTTCTCACCAGGTGAGTGTCTCTCTACCTACCCAGGCCTTCTCCTGTGTTTGCCCCGCAGCTGAAAGCTGGGGAGGTGCTCAGTGAGAGCTGCTCCATGAGCTTCTGCCTGGTCTGGAGCAGGATTCAGCCCTGTGCCCAGGCTCCTGGGCTGGAGAGAGAGGGAGTGTGGGCTCCAGGTGATGCCTTGGTGCAGACACGGCGTCAGGGCAGGCATGGTGATGATCAGTTTTTCTGCCAGGTACCTGGCACACCAGGCAGTGCTAATGCCAAGCCTCCAGAGCTCACTGGGCCCCTTAATCCCCCCTTAAACCCTCCCTAGGCATGGCTGTATCCAGTTGGATTTTATCATGGTTTGGCAAACTGATCAGGGCCGTGGCACCGGCACAGGGTTGGACCACACTGACGGGTCACCAGCCCCTCTGTGTCCCTCTGTGTGACATAGCTGTGCCTGGGGATTTACAGGGAGTCTGCAGGCCACATGAAGCTGTTGGGTGCCTCCATCCAGACTGCAAACCACATGTCTGTCACTTCTGTTAAGCTTTCCTGGCAACGTCTGTTCTTGGCCACGTGTGTTTTCCAAAGAGCCATGTGGGACAGAGTCTTCTCCAGCCTGGAGCAGTGTCCTGGAGGATGGTTTGGTTTCCCAAAAGGAAAGGGAAGGCTTGAGCTCATCCCCAGAGGCTGGTGGGATTAGGAATGGCTGGAGAGCCCAGCTAAGGCACACAAGGGGTCCAGGCACGCAGAGTCCATCAGTACCTGGGCCAGATGTGCATAAACTAGTGGCTGTGATGGAACAGCTGGCAAAGAGGCTGTGCTTCCCCACTTGTGTGTCTGTGCAGCTCCCAGACTCAGCCTGGAGAAGGCTCCAAGGAGACCTTATAGCACCTCCCAGTGCCTCAAGGGCTCCAAAACAGCTGGAGAGAGACATTGGACAAGGGTAGGGAGTGACAGGACAAGGGGAAAATGGCTTAAAATTGATAGAGGGCAGGGTTAGATGGGATATAGGAAGAAATTCTTCACTGTGAGGGTGGTGATGTCCTGGCACAGGTCGCCCAGAAAAGCAGTGGATGCTCCATGCCTAGAATTGTTCAAGGCCAGGCTGGATGGTGCTTGGAGTAACCTGTCTAGTGGAAGATGTTGAAACAAGATGATCTTTAAGGTCCCTTCCTACTCAAACCACTCTGGGATTTCTGTGTGATTATCTCTTGTCCCTTTTACTGGGCCCAGACTCTCAATCAGGCAGACTGAAACTGTAAATATTTGTGCTGTGATATGAATAATTATCCTGCTGTCTGCTTCACACATCATCAGACACACAGTGGAACCTCTCTGCTGTGCTGCTCAGCATGGCCAAGTGAGCAGACAGGGACTGAAACTGCCCTCTGGCCTTGGCCATGGCAGCATGGTCAACGCAGAGCCACTGACAATGGTGGCGTGGAGACACGTGAAAAGGCCATTCAGAGTATCTCCAATTGCTCATTTGTCCATCTCACACACCACTGACTTGCAAATGGCAGGAGCTCCCCAGATGTCATTCATCTTCTGGCTAGCCCAGCCAAGTAGAAAATAGAACTGGATCCAGTGTCTTCCCATAGCCATTTCCCAGGTCATGAATACAAAGTGTCACTTGCCTTCCAGGTCAGGAACGTTACCATAGTGTGTATCACAAAATAGAAGTGATTGTCCAACTAACTTGCTAAAAAGAGACCAATGTGTAATATAGCTTGCAGGGATATGAGCCAGTTGGTCTGATTCATCGAATTCTGTTTCTCTCACACTAAATAGGAACTTTATCCTTTCAACCTCTGATGCAACCATGTTCCATGTTGCAACAGACAGCACAAGCTTTGAAAGAATCATGACAGAGGCAAAGAAAGCTGTGAATGCCATTGCCTGCCACCCTCGGGAGCCACTCGTGGCTGTGGGGAGCCACTGTGGGCTGCTGAAGGTGTGGGACTACAAGCAGACCCAGTACCTCATTAGCAGGATATTCACTGAGGCTGGCATCCAGTGCTTATCCTATGATCCTGAAGGTATCCCAGCCCTGTGACCTCTCCATGTGCCAAGCACTGGCCTTCCTGGGAGGAGTGATCATGTCGTGAGAGGTTTCTGGTCTGCTTTCCAGGTCATTTTCTGGCTGCTGGTTTTACTGATGGAAGCGTTTACATCCTTGATGCAATTTCCCTTCAGTCCATCTGCGAGGAATTCCAGTTCTCGCAAGGTCCCGTGACTCACATCAGCTTCTCTCACGATTCCAAGTACATCGCAACCGCTGTAAGCTTGTTTTTTCCGCTCGGTGATTTACATGCGCTGCTCAGGGGCAGCTTTGGGAGGGACTGGGAATTGCCGGCCGTGCTGCGAGGCACAGAGCGAGCGGGGCAAAGGGCCGGCCCTCCCCGGGGCTTGGTGACTCTGAAATGCAGAGCGAGCAGGGCAGAGGGCTGTTCCTCCCCTGGGGCTTCCTGACTCCCAAATGCTTTTCCTGCTTTGAAGAGTTACTCTGTAAAAACGTCACCAGTCAGCACTGCCCAGTCCCTAACTTTAGTGACAAATCTTAGCCCTGCGTCCATCTGAAGAAGGGGCTGGAGGAAGGATTTCCTCCTGGCTGGTGCTCTGGGAGGGGGCTTCTCCCTCAATCCCATGTCTCCCTGCACAAGTTTTGAGGGAGCATTGAAGCAGTTTGACTCAAAGTTTGTAACAACTGGTGATGATCTGTACAAAGAAAAAGATTCCCCTCATTGAGCTTTGTGCTGTTGTTGCAGGATGAGAATTACTCAGTGACTGTTTACAAGAGAGTCCTACAAAATGGGAGCAGATGCTGGGAACATCTGGCAGGGCTGGACTCCCACTACAAACCCATCCGGAGCATCCTCTTTGGGGTCCACTCAGACAGCAACGAGCCCAGGCTGCTGAGCCTCGGGGAGGACCGGCAGCTGGTGGGTTGATACAAAAGTTTAAAGGATAGTGAAGCTTTGTGGTTAAAGGTGTGGGGCTGGACAAGGCCATCAAAGGAGGCTCCATGTTTGGTTCCATGGCTCCCAACCCTTTCCCCACCAGCTCCATTGCTGGGTGTTGTTTCTTAGCCTGGTCTTGGTGCTGAGGCTTTCCTATTGTAGCTTCTCCAGGAGATCAAATCCAGTGAATCCACAAGGTCATGGGTACAGGGCAAACCACAGGGGAGTTGCTGTGTTTCCTTTCTTCCCTCCAGGTTGAATATGACCTGAAGAGCAGCATTAAGGACCACTTGGTAGTGACACACAGGGACAGGCTGGAGCAGGTTGCAGTGCCCCTGTGCTTGACCTGGTACCCACAGCTCAGCACTGAGTCCTTTTTCCTCACTGCCAACAACTGCTACAAAATGAAGCTCTACAACACGACAACCAAAATGTGCAGGTAGAGGATCGATTCAGGCCTGCCATTGCCTGGGAGTCTCCTCCTGACCCTGTGTTCTCCTTGGTCTAATGACCACCATACTTTCACTCACAAGCATATGATTTTCCATCTGTGATGCAGATCTTGGGATGGTTCTAGAGCCCTCAGGTCACTCCATTCTTATGCCCACTCTACTGTTCACTAATGTGTCATTTAGTAAGGTTGTAACTGCAGGTGGATCTTGGTTTACTGACTATGTTGGACCTGAGATGTAGCAGTTAGTCATGAAATAAAGAGATCGGAGTCCACAAGAGGAAAGCATAATAATCCCTGAGCACTAAAATAATTTCTGAACCCCAGTGTAGTCCCTTCTAGCTGGGGACCCTGTCCTATTCTGTTCTCTCATGAGTAACCAAAGCCTCTGCACACCTCCCCTATCTACCCATCCTTCCACACAAAAGCTGTTCAAAAATGTTTTGGGTGGTCTCGAGTGGATAAATACATTATTTGCCTTTAGAAAGACCCTTTTGGGACCAACCTATGGCTCCCCCTTGGAGAAGATACAAATCCTCCCTAGGACAAGCTCTGCGGACCCCCAGCAGCACTACCTGGTGTACATTACAAAGGACAAGGTATGGAGCCCCACCTGCTCAGCTGAACAAGAGCCCCCCACTTGCAGAGCTGCTGGACCCTTGGGAATTTCCTTGAGGATGAAGCCACGTGTAGGCTGGTCCTGCCTGAAAGCTGAGCAAGCTCCCGGGGAAGAGGATGTGACAGTACCCCAGTGGGACCCCCAGCCCTCCCAGACTCCCTCTTCCCTTACAGGTGGGCTTGCAGATGCTGCCTGTCGATGGCAACCCCCACAAGTCCTCAGCCTTCATTTGCCACCCGGATGGTGCCTCTGACTTTGCCATCTCCCACGACGGGCGTTACATCTTTACAGCCGGGGGGAAGGAGCGCACTTTTATGAAATGGAAGGTCAACCTACAGTGAGTTATGGCAGGAAAAGGAAAGGAATCTTGTTCCTGCTTTCCACAGCTGCTTGGTTGACCCATTGGGCCCCAAGCAGCTATGTGGGGTGGTAGCTGAAACAGGAGAGACATATTTTAGGGGGTCTTGTTCCCCTCTCTGTAATGTAGGAGGGATTAAGCCAGCAAACCTCACAGGGGTGGCCATAGTGCTTGAACAATACTCCAGTCTGGGAAATAGTGCCCAAAGGGTAAGAAGCTGGGCAGAGGATTTTGTGATACTTGTGAGGGCCTGGCCACTGTGATGTCAGAGTTAGGCAGGGACCAGAGGAGCAGCACTGGCTGCAGGAGGAGCACACAGGGCAGCTGCTGATACAAAAGTGTCTGCTCTCCAAATGGAATAGGAATTTGTTGGGAAATCCCCCGTGTTTGAAGACTGGATTTAGAACAAGCCACTGTAATCCTATAAAGCTTTGCTTACATGAATAAATGGCCTGCAATAAACGGGGTGGTTGAAGAGTGGAGGCTGCTCTAACAAAGAAGGATCTCCAGGCTCTGGCCCAGACCACCAGTGATGAATCCTGCCAGGTTTCTTACGCTGTCCTCTGCAGGCTTCCCTCTGCCAGATCCCTTGGGCAGTGGTGCTAGATGTATTCCCACATGACAGGAGGGTAAAACAGCAAAGGCAGGATAGATATTTTGGTTTCTTGGCATGTCAAGGACCAAGGCTGCTTATTGCTCAATGTTTGGGGCACAGACTCTCCCCTCCTCATGGATGCAGAAATGTACATAGAAATGGAGCAAGGCAGCTGTGAACGGCGTGAAAACTGCCAGGCCTCCATGGATCCACTTCATGCTTCAGGGACTGGGAACTTAGTCCATGGCAGAGTTAGGATAGTGTGGCATGGTCTCCCTCAGTCTGTGCAGTTTTGGGTTGGTTTTTTTTTTTAAATCCTGCACAATACCCTCCTAGCACAGAGCATTGTGTCTCCTGGTTTCTGGGAAATAACTCCATGGGAGCTGGCTTTTAGCCCTTGCTCTTATGTTTGCCATTTGGTGCACACCTGGGAAACACAACTGCCCCTCACCTTCCTAGGACCATGTGGTTAAGAGACATGCTGGTCCTGCAAGGAACACATTTTGCAGGTACCATTTACTCTGAGGAAAGCCCAAAGAGTGCCAAGCCAGCTCACCTTCATGTGCCAGAACAAAGGAAACTTGGGTTGGAAAGCAATGGGTTTATTTATTTTCTTTTCCACTTTGTGTGGCTTAAACAGTCGGGGGTCAGGATAAGCAACATTTTAAGGAAGGCAATAGAATATAAATGATCCCTCTTTATAATGGTTGGCCAGAGTCCAGGCAACATTGAATTTCTATGTAATTTGTTTTTGGAGTGAAGTTTTTGATGAGCTAATTATCATTTTATTACTGCTTCTGGCATCTTGTGAATCTCCACTGTGTTTAATACCCAAATAACTTAATTATGAAAAAAGCATGAAGCTTGCAAAAAACCCCAGTGGAAGCAGCACTACAGGGGTGTGTGTGAAAGCTGCAGCCTGGCTGCCAGGCATGGGGTATTATGTGGCAGTGCTATGCCATGATTGCACTTCCAGGCTTGGTTTCTTTTTACATCTGCACAAGCCAAAGGGATTCTTTTGGCTCCAACTGCCTATGAAATTGAAACAAAGAGGTGGCTACTCAGGCACTTTCAGTTTAATGCAAACTGCACCTGCAACTCCATCACCCGCCACGGCGGAAGAAGTCGGGTAATGGATTGCACTGAGTTATTGGGGAAAAATGTGTTGGATCAAGGAACAGGGAGTTGTGTGGTTTATTGCAAACACCGAGTCCCGGCCTTCTCTGCATGTTCAAAATGCTGATCTAGCTAATTCATCTCCCTCAATGTCTCTATAAGGAAGCAGAAAAGCCAAATGCCAGACACCAAGTTCAAGTCCATGGAAAAGCTCCTGGCTCCCAGCCCTGTACTCATTCCACTAAACAAGAGGACCATTCAGTAATAATTAATTCCCACACTGTGCTATTGTATGTAAAACCTGGGTATGAAATATGCTGCAGAAGTGCAGCTGATGATAAAATAGCACAAGGTTCAAGGCAGTGCTTTTCTTTCCTGAATTCTGAGGCCCAGAGATTTTATTTATTGAATGTGTCTGTGAACAACGCCTAGAAAAGATACCATGAAAGTTCTCCTCACATGAACCCTTCCTGTACCTTCTTTCCTTCACTTCTGCCAGTACCTTGAATGCTGCTGCTTTCCTGGGTGGGGAGGACTTGATCCCATTCTACAACCTCCTGGATGGCGGCAGAGAAGGCAAATTCTTCAGGGTAATTACCTCACTGTGAATGCTGTCTGACCACATCTGGTTGGTCTTTAATTTATACAGGCCTGACATTTCTTTATGTTTTGTCCAGCTAGCCTTTAACAGCAATCTCATTGATATGGCTGTTAGTAAACTCTAAAAGGAGCCTTATCTTCCGTGCCTGCTGGTAACTGAAATTTGCACTGTTTGAATCCCTGGCAGGAACTGGAGGACTATTTTTACTACGTACAGCTGTGCAGCCAAGGTATCAAAACACTGGAGACCAGACAGGTGTCAACACATATTGCCTTGGAGGAAATTCCTTCTGTAATGAGAGCAATAGGATTTTATCCATCAGAGGAAGAGGTTGGTCAGCTGTTTTTATTGTTATTATTAAAAGAAGAAAGGGCAAGACTGATTGCACTTCCCAAGTGTTCTAAGGGCCAGATTCTGACCATTGCCATGCTAGATGGCTCTGGGATATATTTATTGGCTGTCAACATATTTTTATCTGGTTTGCGTCAATATAATAGTAGCCAGAATCTGGCAGAAAATACCTTAAAAAGTTTCCTTGGTAGCAAGTTGGCCAACTGCAGAAGAAGGCTGAGCAAACCTGGAGCCTGACAGCTCAGAGTTGTTCAACAAGGCAACCTCAGGGTCAAAATTTTACAGCAGAGAACTGATTTAATAAGGGTGCTGCTTCTTCCCCTTCGTGTGGCTGTTTCTCCAAGGCAGTTTGTACTGTACACAAACCTCATTTGTAACGTGTAACCTGGCATGACTGAATCTGAAGCAAGGAGATTTGAATAACGGCCTCTGAGCACCAGCTCCAGCCCGTCACCGCAGGAGAGGCTCTCCCAGGGGAAGAGGTGCATCACTGCACTCCCTCAGCCTTTCTGGGGGGGAGATTGTGTTCATCTCTTCCGTGGCACAGCAACCCACAGGCTGCTGAGGCACTGCTGTGAGTCTGTGCCACCCCATCTGCCCAGGGATGCTCTGCCAGGAGAGCCACCAGATGGGAGGCAGCACCGTTGCCACAGTCACCCCAAACTGACTCACTTGGGAGCCCCCACAGCCAGCAAGTGTTTATCTGAGCTGGAGCTGCTTTCCTGGTGTTAAGTTGAAGTGTAATCTCTTCATACCGTGTTAGATCTTTTCCTTGGGTTATTGCATTTTTGCCTCTTGAGGAAACAGAGAACATATTCCACTGGGAAACGTCTCTGGAATAATACCTGATAATGCCCCACACTTCCCCAAATTAAAATACAAACAGCATTTCAGGCATGGAAACAAAGGTGCTGAGCTGTTGTGAAACCAGGCAACCTACAATCAGTAATAAATCCAGAGAGAAGGTTCATCTCTCTCTCTAGAGTGTTTTAATAAAAGAAAAGCAGGAGGGAGAAAAGGCAGCTTGGGCTGACTAGCAAAGCTTTTGGGAATTGGTGTTTTTCTTTTGTAGTTCAGTGGGGTTGATATAAAACCTAATCCCAGATCAGCCAGAGCCGAGTAAAAATGACTGTTCTTGCTTGGCATGACGTTTCCTACAGGAAAAATATAAGGCTGAAATTTCCCTCTTCCCTGGGCTTCATTCAGTGGAAAAACTTGTGACACAAGGACAAAGGCCCAAGGCTGAATGCAAAGTCCTCCCCAGGGAGATCTTGCATCAGCTTCCCTTCCCGGGGAGCAGCAGGCCTGGTACGTGTTGGCACAGGGAATTCTCCTGGCATCTCGCTGCTGCCCGTGCATCTCTGAGGGGCTGCAAGGACAAAGAAGGCATGGAGCAGATGTTGCCTTTTGGACACACATCTGCACAGCTGCCAACTGGGCTGACTCAGAGCACCAGACTTCAGGAAAACCACTGGTATCCAGCACAGCCAGTGCTTGCCTGTTTGTCTGAGACAAGCGTGAGGGATCCAGCAGTGCAGGGTGTCAGCCCCACTGAGCACATTTTGGATTTGGCTTGTGCAGTGCCTGAACCACTCTAGACACGGGGAAGAGCAGGGGAAAATAAGATTTCTTATCCAGTCAGGATGTGCAGCCTGGTTCTGTTGGGACCCTCGTGTGTGTGCTTCCAGAACAAGGATGGAAGATGGTGTTTACTGGTTTGAGGTTTGCCTGCCCACTGTTCCAGAGTGGAGACACAGCTGTGCCCAAGGTGCCACTAACAGCTGCAGGGTCACCGAATGCCTGTCACAAGAGAGGAAATCCAAACTGACTGTGTGTGTGTGTAACCCCCATCTTTACTTGTTATTGTCATGTCAGCAGGTGTGTGACTGTTGGCCATTCCCATCCTCAGCTGCTGAATGCAGCTTCCTCCTGGGATGTGGTCATGGCACCAACACATGCACGGTTCAGGGACGTTGGCATTCATGGGATTGGAAACTGGCCCAATGTTCTTAAAAATAAAACATGTAACATCTGCCTTGTCTTGATCTTTAGATTGAAGACATGATAAACGAAGTAAAATTCAGCAAGTATGCAGATACTGGAGAAGAAGTGACAAAAATCAATTTAGATGATTTTATCAAACTTTATATAAATCATCGACCTGCACTTGGCTTGTCAATGAAAACCATACAACGAGCATTTCAGGTTCTTGGGTATGATAACAAGAAGGGAGACAAAGTTATCGACAGAGGAGACTTCCTATCACTGCTTCAGTGCAGAGGTGAGCTATTTTGTTTCTAATATCAGTTTTATGCTTGCTAGTTCTGCCTGCAATTTCAGAACTTTTTCCCTGCAGCAAGAAATTATCCTGGAATGAGAACCTGGTAACCAGGGCAGGCGTGAGGAGCCACCTGCCTTCAGATTTTAAATTGAATAATCACATGTCTTGTCCCAGCTGTGCTTCTTTTACTGCTCTGGAAATCTCTGCTGGCCTGAGGTATCTCAGCTGTTAAATGATAAGTATGGATCTTGGCAAAATGTATCCTTCTCCCAATGTGCCCTTATCTGAATTGCTGTTTTCTCTTCTAGTCACACAGGTTCTGGAAAAGTAGTATAAAATGGATAAAAGGGACACAAGAAAGGAGGGATGAAATTGGTCCTAGGCTGCACCCAGTGTGAAAGACTGAAAAGATGGGATGATTCAGTTGAGCTGAATCAGGGAGAACACCATAAACGTGGGTGTTAATTTGCTTGTGGCCAGTGCCATAGAGTGCTAATAACAAACTTCTATTGTCTTACTTCTGGTGTAAAAGTGTAGCCGAGCATTAAAACAGGTAAAGGGAAATGCTGATTTACTCAGTACATCACTTAGCAAGACTCCTTGCCACAAAGATCCTTGGAAACCACGGATTCAACCAGTGTGAGAAAGGTTAGCTATTTATACAGATGGTGTGAACATCCATAAATAGGTACATCAGATAGAACAGTTTCATAACAGATCTATAACCTCATGCTCCAGGGCGTGAGCCAACCACTAACTGGGAACAAGTGCTGTGTCCATGTTATTTCAAGATACTAAATTAAGACTTTTCTCCACCTTTCTCTTCCTCTGCATGAAAATGGCTACATGGACTGTGGTCTCTGCCAGGAATTCTCCAGTGGGAAGAGAAGCTCAAGCCCCTGCTACTACAATGTTGCTTAAAGAGCAGTCTGCATCATAATTTCTTCTTTTGATTGACATTTTCCCCCAAAATGCTATAGAGAAGACAATTTTCCTTAGGATCAACATTTTCCTGCATTGGAATCATGTGTTTCAGTTGGCACTGTATATGTCTCTATCTCAGAGAAGCCAGGTCCTCTTTTGAACTGTCCTGTTTAGTTTAATTGCAGTTGCTTTTGAGTTTTTGTGCTATTGACCCCATAACCCAAGGGTGGTGGTGCTCCATTTTGTACAGGGGAGCAGATGACAGAGGACGAGCTGGCTGAGTGTCTGACCACCCTGCTGGGCAGGAGACCCAGGAAAGAAAGATCTGAACTGGACACCTACGATCCCACAGGTACAGGATTAGCATTCCACACAGCAGAGAAGCAGGACTGTTTAATTCCCAAATGGAATAATTTAAATTTCAAACCCATTTACCCTGTTAGGCCAAGAGCTGTCAAAGCTGCTCAGATGGGATTGCAAAAATAGTCACAGAGCTACAGACTGTCCTTCATCCACGCAGCAATTGCACGGGTGTATCTAAAAATAAATGGACAATGAACTATAACTGGGGCCTGACAAGATTACATTGCTGTTTATCTGCTGGCTGGAACTGAAATTAGAAACACACAGGGAAATCCCAGGGCTGGTTTCACCCAGGCCGCAGTGCCCATTGTAACAGAGCTGTTGGTAACGAGAGCATTTGTCTGCAATTTATGTCCCAGTCCACACCAGTCTGGAACAGCAAATTATAGCATTGATTTGAGCCAAGAGGCTGAATTTAATTGCCCATTGTAATTGGAACTGCATTTTTGTACAATTCATGTCCCAGTCCCCACCAGTTTGGAACAGAATCTGTTTAGGGTCACCGGCAATGGGCGCCATGCAGCAAAGGTGCTGCTCCTGAAGGGAACTTTGAAACTCTGAAATCCCTGGATCCCTCAGGATCCTAAATCACATCAAATTGACCAAGTGTTAAAGTTGTCCCATGACTCATCTGAGGCAGGGACCTGCTGCAAGGTGAGACACACAGATTTGACAGGCTTAATTCCTGATATAAACACATAAAGTATCAAGCTAGTAAACTGTCACTTTGTCATGATCTCTTCGTACATCTTTAAAAACATTTCATTCACTTATTGCTGCTTATAAATTTTACTGGAGAGCAATTTTGACATGGCTTTTGTGTGTCTTCTGATGCTGTTACTGCTCTCCAGGTGCAGCAGCTTTGATTGAAGAAGAAATTCCAGCAGAAATCACAGCAGAGATATTTGTTGCAGACATTCTTGGCTTACCTATTGCTGAACCAGAAAAAAAAGAACACAAGGAAAAAGAAGAATCTTTGATCTACAAAGGCACAGAATCTAGCGACCACTAGATTTTCTGTTTATTCCTACTTTCCAGGATCCTCTCCTCAAATATCTGCAAAATTTATGGCTTGTGTTTATTGCAAAATAAAGGTCACATAGTTAAATTTCAGTCAAACTCTAGAGTAAGTCCCCAGTTTGGGCCATGCCACAAACCTGTAATTTCACACCTATATAGGGAAACATTGAATGGCTGGAAAGAATGAAGCAGGTGGCCACTCCATCCTTGGCTGGAACATCCCCAGAAGTCATTTCAGGTGGGTTTATGCCAGATGCAGTCTATTTTCATTACGTTAAGACAGTATTCATTTGTGAAACCTGACAGCAAAAGAGCAACGTAAGAGTATTGTATTGATTAAATACATTGATAAATGCTTTGACAGGTTAGAATGGATTTGTAATTATAAATCCAATGGACCTTGGTAAAGAAATAAATGCTGTGGTACACATTAAAACCACGCTTCTCTTTTGGCCTTTAAACTGACTTTTTCTTTCTGAAAGTAGAGATTCCAATTAGCAGTGTAATACCAATGGGACGGCATTACTCTGTGTGTGTATAAACAGCATAATGAGACTGATACAAGTTGCTGTAGAAAGATCAGTGAAGTGCTGTTGAACAGCTTCCTTCTTTACATCATCCTTGGCATCAATTTGAATAATAATGTAGGCCCTTAAGAAGCGTTCCTTTCAGAAGCAATGTTTTTTAAACAGAGATCGCTGTTGTGCACTCAGAGCATCTGTGATTGTACAATTAGCACCAACAGCAAGGTGTGCATTAGGGAGAAGTTAATGAAGGAGTCCAGCAGTACCACACCAGAGCTCGCAGGTCTGTGACAAATTTCCTGCAGAGCATCACCTCCCATGTAACTCATTTAGCCTTTATGCTCATGTAATTCCATGGATCTCTGTCGGAGCTGAGCCTCCACTGCTCAAAAGCAGCCCAATTCCATGGATATTGCTGGAACTAGTTAAAGCAGCTGAGAAACTTTATAACCACTGGGGAAACAAACCTAAAATCTGCTAATTATGGATTTATGCTTCGTGTAAAACAGGGAACTTCATCACCCATACCCATGTTCAAGGTCTGTCATGGCAACTGGTGCAAGGATAGGACGGATGTTTGTCACTGCCCTGTACAAAAATAGGTATTATCTCTATGTAAAGTGTTTTGAGGTTTGTAAAAACCCTGGATTTTAGGACTGGATTTTACTTTGTGGTAAAATGTAACTGAGCTCTTGATGCTGCTAGACTGCATTGGATTATCACAGAATCACGAGAACCAATTTGGTTGGAAAAGATCTCTGGGATCCAACCCTTGACGGGTCACCACCTTGTCAACTAAACCACAGCACCAAGTGCCACATCCAGTCTTTCTCTAAAGGATTACACCGCCTCCCTGGGCAGCTCCTGCTGACCCTTTAGGGTGGAGGCGAGCTGAAATCGGATAAAGTTTTTAGTTCTGGGGTAACTTACGGCCTGAGCTGGGTGGGAGTGGGGAAAGAACGTTGTCTTGTGTTCTCTCCAGCGAACGCTCGAGGAAAACCAGCGACGGGAACTCTGGAAGCGCGCGGGGCGGGCGGCCGCCTCCGGGTTCTCCCCCGCGGGGGCTCCTTCCCGCCCGGGGGCTCCTCCGCAGGTCCCCGCGGTGTCCCCCGAGCCCCGGCGGCCGCGCGGGGCTCGGAGCCCGCTCCGCTCCCTCACGGCCCCGCCGCCCTTCCCGCCACCCGCCGTCCCCTCACGGCGCCCGCCCCGCCCCTCCCCGCCGGCCGCGCGCGTGCGCGGAGCGCGGGCCCCGCCGGGCGGGCGGGCGGAGCCGAGCGGAGCCGCCGAGCGCAGCCGTGCCGAGCCCCGCGCAGCCCCGGCATTGTGCGGGCGGGCGCCCCGACACACGGACCGAGCCGCCGGCCGCGCCGAGCGCCGCGTTCCCCGCCGAGCCCGCCGCCCCCCAGCAGCATGTCGGGCCGGTCGGTGCGGGCCGAGACCCGGAGCCGGGCGAAGGATGATATCAAGCGGGTGATGGCGGCCATCGAGAAAGTGCGCAAATGGTGAGCGGGCCGCGCCGCGCCGGGACCCCGCGCCCGCGTCCCCCGCGCCCCGCGCCGGCCCCGCGCGGCTCCGGGGCTCGCCGGCGGCCGCGGGGGGCGGGGAGCCGGCGGCACCCAGCAGCCATTTCGCTCCGGCGAGTCACATGAAGGCGGCGGCGGCGTGTGAGGGCGAGAGGCGGCTCCATTGTGCGGCCGAGCCCCCTCCCCGCCGCCCCCGCCGCTCCCCGCGGACCCCGGCCCGCCGCCCCTCGCCGCGGGGCCCGGGCCGGGCGCCTCGGGCATGGGCGGGCGGCGGGGTCGGGCCGGGCGCCTCCCGCCGCCGGCCCCTACAAAGGGCCCGAGGAGCGGGCCCGGGGTGGCTCCGCCGCCCGCTCTTCTGGGTGGAAATTGTGCTCGGAGAAGTGTTCTGGAAAAAAAGAAAACACGTTAAGAATACCCCTCTGAAGCTCCCGAGAGTTTATTTTTT